CTGGATGTTCGCTTTTAACAGAGTTCTGGTTCCTTCCGCTATTTCTTTCTTTCTTTTTTCTTTTTTTTTTCTTTTCTTTTCTTTTCTTTTTCTTTTTTTTTTTTTTTTTTTGTTTTGCGGAACCGGAGATTGAACTCAGGCCCATCTCCCCGGCCCATCTTCCACTATTTCAAAAGGATGTTTTATGGGATGAAAACAGAAACTTCGAAGACCCCCCCCCCCACCAGTTTAACCACGACGTAGAGCTGAGGGTACTTACGTTCACTTTGGGTCTGGTCTCCTTTTTCTTAACTTGAAAAAATACATTAAAGAAAAAAAAAAGGACAGGGAAGATAGCTCAGTACAATAAGCGCTTGGCAAGCAAAGGCCCTGAGTTCGATCCCCGGTACCACACACATGTATACTATTAGTACGTATGCTATGCACAGTGAACTCTTTCCTCGCGGGGACTGGGACTTGTGCATCACACGTCTTGTCCTTTTTCTGTCCTTTCCCCTCTAACTCGTCTCCCTACACCTCTTTCCTTTGGTGGAAGCCTACTGAACCAGATTTCAGACCCGCTGCAGGCTCAGCGCCCATCCTGCCCTTTAGGGCTCTGGGCCCTCGCTTTCCTTTTCGGGACCTCGATTTCCCCATCCGAGTTGGGGGGGGAGCGGCTCTCTAAAGTCCCTTGCCCTCCAACAGGCACTCATTCTGTGCCCCGTGTCTTCAGTAGGCTTTCGCTGGCCCTAGGGCCCTTACTCGGAGCACAAATAGAGCAGGCACCTGAGTACTGGCTGTAGCACTCCACTTATGCAGGACAGAAGTTGTTCAGTAGCATATAATTACAGCTCCTCGGGAAGCTGAAGCCAGCTGGATGACAGAGCAAGAACCTGTATGAAATAAAATGTGCTGGGGGAGGTGGCTCAGTGGTAGAGCACCTGCCTATGCTGCTCGCGGCCCCGCGTTCAGTCCTCAGCACCAAAACAACAAACTGGATTGGTGTAAGACGCTCTGGCTTCCTCTCCTCTCTGGCACATCTGCCAGGACGCAGGTACAGCTGCATATCAGTTGTTCTGTGCAGGACCCAGCACCGGTTGTCCCCCACTCTAACTTGCAGGTCAGTGCACCCTTTCCCGGCTTTCCCTGTGCCTGACTCTACCTTACTCACTGCACAGGTGATTCTTGGAATCATCTCCCAAATAAGCCACCTGTTTTTGTACCAGGGACACCTGGTACAGGGCAATTCTAAAACTTACAAAATTCAAAGGACTGGGCTGGGAAGGTAGCTCAGCAGTCTAAACGCCTGCCTGGCAAGTGCAAGGACCAGGATTCAATCCCCAGTATTGCATGCCGTGCAGCCCTAGAACCATGGGCTTGGTGCACATGTCTGTAATCCTAGTGCTGGGGAGGCCAAGACAGGAGGATCGCTATGAGTCCAAGCTGCATAGCAAGACCCTGTACCAAATAAATAAATGAAATATTTTAAAAGTTCAAAGGACCAGGAATAGTAAAGGCATGCTGAAGAAGAAAGTTGGAAGACTCACCCTATCAGAGGACAAGAATTATTAGAAATATATTTTTAATTACAAAGTATCAGAATTAAGGGAGTGGGGTGTTGCAGAAACCAATCAGTGTAAAGACACATACATGTGGTGACATGGCTTATAACAAAGATGACACTGCAGATAAGTAGGGCAAAGGATGGACTTTTTAATAGAGGGGCTGAGTCAATGATTTATAACAAAGGTGACATCGCAATAGAAAACAAAATTAATCCTGATCCCTACAATGCAATATATGCAAAAGTCAGTTATAGAAGCATTATGATCTAATACTTCAGAAGGCAAAGCAATGGAACTAAAAGATAAAGTGATAACGTAAAGCAAGAACACAAGAGTACAAAAAAAATCTGGAAATACAGTTTTGATGTATTGGAATTCTCTAAATTAAGAACTTTCACTTAACATTGAAAAGTAAAGCCATAGAATGGGGTGAGATGTCCGATGTATATAGATATATAGGTATATAGATATGTGACAAAAACTCATCTGCCCTATGAAAGAAGGTACAAATTTTTAAAAACAGACAAGTGCAATAACAAAGTGTGATTTGGGTATTCATAAGACTGTCCAAGAGATATGCCCTCAGAAAAAGGAAGATTTAGAGAAGAGTTATACTGCAACACTAAATAAGGAATATGTTGGGCTAAAAAATCCTCCTGTCATAGTTTTAGGGTAAGAGTATGTATGAGAATCACATCTAAATGCCTCAAATAAATATTCAGCACCGGGCATGGTGGCACACACCTGTAATTCCTGCACTTGGGAGTTTGACACAGGAGGATCATTGTGAGTTTGGGACCAGCCCAGGGACTACAAAAGTGAGCACAAGGCCAGCCTGAACTGCATAGCAAGACCCTGTCTAAATCAATCAAAGTTACAAGCCAAATGAACAAGCTAAAGAAAAATATCTATCTTTCTGCTCTAAAAATACTTCTATATGGATGACCTAGACAGGCCAGCTCTTTGGAGGCTGAGTCTCAGACTGAGGGCAAGAGAGTTCTCTGCCAGAAGGCCCTAGCCCTGCCTGGGGCCCACCCTGTTTCTCCCCACCCTCCACTTCATCCCGCACTTCACAGAGCCACCCATGCCCAGGAACATTTCCTGTTACAGCCAGGAAATCCAAGCTTCCAAGCTCTACCCCCTTGTCCCCTGCCACACCCACTGTCCCTCTGCCCATGGTTCAGGTGTAGCGAGGCCATTGATTCTCAGGTGAATGGACTCACGGATGAAGTCCCTGTATGCCCAGAAAATTGGCCTGGCTCCTGGGACAGTAAATCCGATCTCAGGCACCTCACACAGTTTAGAAAGAAGGATCCCAGCAGCCTCTGGATGTGGCTGGCTGCATCTCCTTGACTTCACACTGTAAATTTTCATCTCTAAGGAGAAGCGTGGCTGGGGGAGGTCCTCAATGCAGCCTCTTCAGCTGTCTCACATGGGCCTAAGGTGGTGCTCCTAAGAAGCAGGTCTCAAAATTCTGGACTATTCCAGTGTCTTTATGTCTTAGATACCAAAATGACTATAGATTGTTTCCCCTCGTTGTCCTTAACACCACCACGATCCCACCATCCCATGCCTGCAGCTACCCTGTAGCTGTTCTTCTTGCTTTGGCCTCTCAACCTATCCAGTCGTCCCCTAGTGCTAGACCCAATTAATCTTTGTAAAGCACAGCATGTATCATACTGAGCCATACAGCAAACTCCCAATGGCCCATCAGAAGCCACGTCCTCAGTTTCCAATCCATGGCCTCTCTCTGAGTCTCCCCATTGCAAGTGCCAGCCCCTCTCCTCCAGAGTCTCTGAAGCACTGTAATCACCATCAAGGTCAAATTACAGTAGGTCAGGAGGAGTTTGAATGTTGACCATAGGTTAACCCTTCCAAACTGACAAACACATACCAGATAAGCCATCAAGTCTCTATAAATCAAAACATGTAATTAGCCAGCATGTCCCTCTCAACCCCACTGATTATGATATTTTCTGATAGGTTCTGGCCCTAGTAGGAATAGCTGAGATATTATGGTGGAAACCTAGCATGGCTGAAGTCCTTAAAACATCAGCTTACCTTCCCAGAGACCACCTCCTCCTTCTTCCTGACCCAGGCCTGGATACAATTTCCTTTCACTCTTCCCGCACCGCAGGGGGGACCCCAGGCAGCACGTGAGGTGTCACTAAACCTGCCCCTCAAACTTCACCTCTAGCAAAAGTCCATGAAGTCTCAGCTTTGTTTGTCTCAGGTCAAAGGATCTCCCATCTCCCTTGGATTCTCTCTGTGTCTTCAATGATAATAAAGCCCCCCCCTTTCCCTTTTACTTCTGGTTTTCTGTTGTGTTGACAATGAAAAATCTAACATTTATGATTTGTTTAGCCTGAAGTCTTTATTTATTTTATTAGTTTATTTTTAATTGTATGTATTTGTTACAGGGTCTTACTACACAGCTTGGATTTGTAGTGATCCTCTTATCTCAGCCTCCCCAGCACTGGGATTATAGGCCACCATGCCTGGACTTTGTTCAGTGGATGAAACCCTGGCCCCTGTGCTTGCCTACGCAGGCGCTTAGTCTGCTTAGCCTGAAGTCTT